TGGCTTTTTTAAAAAAAGCCGGTCTTTATTTTAAATTTTAAATAGATTAGTCATTGTTTGTTTTAAATATTTTGTTTGTTTTTAATACCACCATGTGGTGTATTACCTGTGATATTGTTTTTAGTGTAGTCATTAAATGACTGTTTCTGTGATATGGTTTTTATCGTTTATTTTTGTTTTTTTTTGTCACTATATGACCTTTCTGTGATATTGATAGGTGTTTTATTGTTTTAGTTTTTTCATTATTTTCACGTATTCTGGAGCTATATAGCCCGTTTGATGCTGATGCTCCTTATTGCATTTCATTTCCAATAGAGATATCAGAGTTCAAATCAACTAAAAATGAAATGCAGATGTGATCAGAAAAAACAGGATGAGAAATCATACGTATTTGAAAGCATACCAGATTTCACATAAAATATGCCCAGTCTACCAGAGACTGACGAGCTGCTCCACGTTGGAAACGATCTGCTCGAATAATGAAACCGGAAAACATCTTTTAAGTTGAATTGAGATATTAAATTGGTAAAAATAACAGAAGTTGACGAAATTTTGTCCCTATTTCCGGCCTACTTGTCTAAATCATTATCCAAAACAAAGTTAAAATCTACCGAAGTGACAAAAAACTTTTCAAGGCAAAGAATAAAATCATTTTTTCTGATGGTTTATTGGGGCAATAAAGATCTACAAAGCGCACTGGACGGCCATTTACGTTGACATCTAAAACGACTATCAAGATCAAAGCGTCCACATCATAATCCAAAGATGATCTAAGGAGGGTGGCCGCCCCAGAACTCCTATTACATCCAAAGGACCAAAAACATTTATGTAGCAGAATAAATTCAAAGCGTCTAGCAATGCGAATGCTTGAGACGCGAGTCTCTTGCAAGAAAATAATATCAAAACGCTCCAAAGATAAAAAGTTATTCAAATAATGAATTTTATTGGGTCCTAACAGTCCGTTGCAATTGATGGAAGCATTTTTAGTCCCATATATAAGTGGTTTTTTTTTTTTTTTTTTAAACAAGATATCCGAACCCTATCAAGTGGCAAATTCCGCTTCAACCGAAGAGTCATCGAGAAATGTCTCCTCCACACATAACTAAATCGCTCTCTAGCTTCTCTGTATCAGCCCTATTTATTATGGCCTCTTCGGACGAATCAAAGTTGAAGACTGACATGTCTTCTTCTTTACTAACGATAGTGGGGTCAATTCACTCCACAACCATGCCGCAAGCTTTTCGGTTTGCAACGGATGTATCATTCAAACTTGAAGCGCGCTGAGGCTTGGTTTTATGAGAATTAGCTTCAGCAGCAACTGATTGAAATTTACTAGATTCATGACTACTTTTAGATTTCAAAGGGGAAGAGGGTTGAGCAGCGAATTTTTTCGAGTTAATGTTGGACATGTTGGACGCGGAATCACTACTGACAGAGCTGATTTTAGACTGCGAAACCCTTCGCTTTTTAGCATTCTGTTTGGGAGTGAAAAATCCATCCTCATCTTCCCGATTGGAAGGCACTTTGCCAGTAATAGGAGGTGGTGCCGGGGGAGGATGTGGAGGCCGAAGCTGGCACAAAAACATTTGTTTTGAAATAATTTGGTTGGGGAGCTTTATTCAGAACATGAGCATAAGTGGAAACAGGATGTTGCGTTATTCCCAAGAATTTCCAATACAGGTGCATCAGAAGAAAAGGTTACATGAAAGGTTTTGGACGACCTTCCAGAACCCATTGACTTGATCAGCTTGGGATCAAAACCTTTCTCATTCAAGGTCCGTCTAAGCAATCCGTGCCCGACCCTAACAACCGGAACAAGAAAAGGAGAAAGCAATGAAGATCTTTGGCTTTATTCCCTCTTGTGGGGTTAATTTGAGTCGTTCTCGCTGCGCATAATGCCGGAAACTAGTACTCAAAATTTCTAGCAAAAACCCAAGCGTATTAAGAACAGATACTACACTTTGATCTTAGCCAAAAGGCCGAGAAGCGATACCTGTTAAGGGTCAGTTTGTACCTTTCCGCGATGGTCTCAATACAGTCGGTCTTTAAAAGGAAAAAAAAATAGATATTGAAAAAAGATCTTTTCTGTGAACAGCGTTCGTTCTTTCTTTCTTGTGCACTCAGGTTACGCAAATGCCAGTGCAACCCATTTCGATACATTTAGCAGAGAACTACGTTCTATAATATTCTGGTTTGCACAAGCAGCCTGAGACGTCAGTTTTCAGCTCATGGGAGGCACACGTCAATTTCCCACTTTTCGAAGGTCTAAGGCATATGCTAGTAGTAGGGGGGAATTCTTTTAATTTGTTTTATGAGGGTCTTTCGTGTTTTCATCATTTAAATAAAGTTAATCCTACGTGGAGCAATTCGTCTGTTTCATGTAGATTGGATAGGTTTTATGTTAGATCTAGTACACTCTCTACCACAAATGATTTCCAAACTCAACCCTTAATTTCATCAGATCACCTGTGTATTTCTTTTGAAATAAATTTAAATCCCGGAGTTTCCATTGGAAAAGGCTACTGAAAATGTAACAATTCTGGTGTCATTATCTCCATCTTTAATAATGAATTTCGTTCTTTTTTTAAATACTTTTTCTTACTTGGTTTCAGAAAAAGATTTGTCTTTGTTCAATTGAAAAGAGTGACAAAGGTTCATGTTGTGTCATTCTGAATAAGGAGGATTACGTTTCAGAAGCAGAGAATCAACTGAATAATCCTAAACATTATGCCATTTTACCGCAACCAATTTTCAAAGAAACTGCTAACATGATTAATAATATCCTTGCCGATTTGGTCAAAACTAGTTATCTCAAACAGAAACAATATGACTATCTGTCTGCCAAACCTGATTGCCATAAGAATCCCACCAAGGAGTGGTTTATCTCGAATAAAATGGTAAAACATATTTACAAACTTCAGGGGCAGCAATGGGCAAACGATTCGCCCCTTCGTACGCAAACCTTTTCATGGCAGAGTGGGAACGTGAGGTGTTGCCCCTCTGTCCATTTGACCCACTTTTTACGGACACTTTTTGGAGGACATTTTTATGGTTTGGGCTTATTCTATCGAACAGTTTTGGGAATTCTTTTAAATTCTCAACAACCACCATCCTTCTATCAAACTAACAAGAGGAGTGACAAGAGGATAGACTTTCTCGATACCATTTGTTTTTTAAGGGAGATTCCATAGCAGAAACAAATAAACTGGATATTAAAGTGTATTTCAAAGAAACTGATACTCATCAACTCTTGCACAAGAGCTTCTTTCACCCAAAACATACCTTTTTTGGTATAATTAAGTCACAAGTTTTACGATTTCATCGGTCTCTCACGGTTTTCAATGACATCAGATCGAGATGATCGTATACGAGCACCATCGTCTCTCTCGTTCTCAAGGAGACAAAGCTGATGCTTTATATCCGAAATACAAGCAGAGAAAAGACCAGGATTCTGCAGCTCACGCTCAGACAAATTCCTGTATTCTGTTTTTAAGGCCGAAACTTCTGCATTTTTCTTTAAATGTATATTCTTTTGAAATTCTATGCAAAATGAAATATTAATTCAG